ATCCATGAGATGCATCCTGAAAAACCTTCTCAACTGCTTTAGGGATACTACTCTTTCGGTCAGAAACAATGACAAGTTCTTCGCGAGTTTTGATAGCCTCCTTAAGCCTTTCAAAAAACCATTCCCACGAGGAGTCGTTCTCTGAATCAACAATTGCAAAACCAAGCGGAAAAATATGATTATCAACATCTAAAACTGCAGAGAGAAGCAAGGTCCCAGAAAACACATTCTTCAAAAAGGTGCCATCAACTGAGATCACAGGCTTACAATGGCGCCAACCATTAATAGAAGCCCCCAAGCACAAAAAAAAAATACTTGAACCGCCCATCATTGTCAAGCTCATAAGAAGTCACAGATCCTACAAAGAAAAAACAAAAAAAAACATTTAAAATAACTATTAGTCACAGATCCTACCAGACAAGTTATGCAAAAAAAAAAAAAACACTGTCAATTATGATTCATAACCTGTCAAGTTATGCTCCATAACCGGACAAATTATAACAAAAAATCTATCAACTTATCTAATAAATTTTTTAAAAAAACCGGAAAATTTAAAAAAAAAAAAAAAAAAAAAAAAAAAAAAAAAAAAAAACTGTCAATTATGAATCATAACCTCTCAAGTTATGCTCTATAACCGGACAAATTTTAACAAAAACCTGTCAACTTATCTGATAACATGACAAGTTATGGACTATAACCTGTCAAGTTAAGGTACCATAACCTGGATTTTTCTCCTTCAAAACGTTAAGATAAATAAAAGCATAAGCATAACACATAAAAAAATGACCTGGATTTTTCTCCTTGAAAACATTGCACAGAAAAGGAATGGAAGCATATGACTCCACTGCACTTCCTCTCATTGATGCTAACACGTATCGGCGAGCCATTCGTGCTTTGTAGTAACTAATCTCGACACCATGCTTACCATGCATTATAGACCTCAAATCATTAGGACGCAAACGATCCGCAAGCCAAATGCTAAAATCACCCTTTAAAAACTCCGAAACAACACGACTATTTGCTTGACGATGCTCAGCACTAACAACATCAAGTGAACAAGTATGTTCTTCATACTTCTTCACTGCCCAAACATTACCATTTGAAACCTTAGCAGCACGCATCTTCCAAGTACAATTCTTATTCTTACAAACCAAAACATAAAATGAATTATTAGATCTTTCAGATTTAAACTCAAAATGTCTCCTAATAGCAATTACATGCATGAGTTTCTTGAGAACCGACTTGCTCATTAATTGATTGCCTACATCACATCAAAAGACATATGCAGCTTTGAAATATCCAAATCTTCAATCAAAATATTATTCATCACAACATCAATATCATCTTCAAATTGATAAATAGAACCATCAACAGTAGAAGAAGACGCCTCATCTCTTGAACTCATAAAACAACATGAAGAAGAAGTAGATCCCGCTGCACTAACGGAGCTACTAACAAAATCTATTACCAACGGGTATCCAAGAGCTTCCTTACTGTGTCGAACCAAGTTTAAAAATAACTTAACATCATCATCCCTCTTTAGCTCCGAAACCATCGAAATATAGTGTCGAACAAGTAGGTGTAACTTCAATTGGGTCCTGCGGTGAACTCAATGGAGTCAGTTATAGTGATCCAGCTACTGTGAAAAAATATGCTAGACGTGCTCAATTGGGTGAAATTTTTGAATTAGATCGTGCGACTTTGAAATCCGATGGTGTTTTTCGTAGCAGTCTGAGGGGTTGGTTTACTTTTGGACATGCTTCGTTTGCTCTACTCTTCTTCTTTGGACACATTTGGCATGGTGCTAGAACCCTGTTCAGGGATATTGTTGCTGGTATTAACCCAGATTTGGATGCTCAAGTGGAATTTGGAGCATTTCAAAAACTTGGAGATCCAACTACAAGAAGACAAGTAGTCTGATACAATATTGTTTTGTTATTTTTTGTCTTTAGTTTTGTGATTTAATATAGGCTACCGGATAAATCTTGATTTCAATCGCTGTCTTTTCTTTGACTCTTGCCTTGTTCTTTCTTTTCTTTATCCGGGAGACGATCTCAAATGAACAGGTATGGAAGCTATAATTGTAAACCACGATCAAATCTATGGAAGCATTGGTTTATACATTCCTCAACCTGCTCCCATTTCGAGTCAAGAGATAGATAAATAGACACATCCCATTGCACTGATCGGGGGCGTTCGTAGTGACTGAGGGGGTCGAAGACCAAGAAGTGAGTTATTTATCAGCCAAGCATTCTTCTTATGGCTAGATCCAATCTCCTGGTCCCTGCGGAAAGGAAAAAGAATTTCACGTTCTTTCTTTTCGGGAAGGGAGGTTTTTTTCCTATTGATTGGAGCTTTCTCCAGACCTCCGGGAAAAGAATGAAAAAAAAGGCTCGAATGGTACGATCCCTCCGTCACCCCAGAATGAAAGGGGCGATCTCGTAGTTCTTGGTCTGTGAAGATACGTTGTTAGGTGCTCCCTTGGACGAGAAAGAAAGGATGTCTCGGAGCAACCCCCCAGGTTCCAGACCCATAAGTCAACTTTCCCGTATGAGCATTCGGTACTAATCTGATTGTGATGCCTCACCGGGAAAACGCACGAAAAGAGACCTAGATAGAGTTAACATACTCGTTTACAATATAACATCAAAACGGACATGGATCTAAAAAAAAGGAGGTTTCAACTTCCTTCCCACAAAAAGTAATAAGAATGAACATAAGCATTAAAACTAATCAACTCAAGATGTAGCTCCTCACATAAACACTCATGTAAAAACTTCAAAGAAGCATCCTTCGGAATAAAAATTGATTGAAAACCAAAATTTGTATATTGGTTTTCTAGACTCCATTTTCCCCTATAAGCAACAATGACTGAAATAGATTGCATGCCTACAAACATATTGCAGGAACACTATCACGTTAAAATGCCTAACCGAACAAGTTATGTAAAAAAACTGTTAATTGTGGACAATAACTCGTCAAGTTATGTCCCATAACCGGACAAGTTATAAAAAAAATTGTCAATGACTGAAACAGATTGTATGCCTACAAAAATCAATAAATTGCAAGAGCTATATTCAATCGTCAAAATATTAAAAAACCGAAATAATGCAAAATGTGAAAACGAAATTACAACAAAAAATAATAAATATAAAAAACTAGAAACAAAGAATGCACAAACCTGTTGTTCGGTAAAAATCAACAGAGGACCTGCTCAAAAAACGACCGGAAAACATAAAAAAAACACAGGATTAACGGACAAAGAGAGAGAACAAAACCGAAATAATGCAAAAAATGAAAACGAAAATACAACAAAAATAAAACTAGAAACCAAGAATATACAAGGCTGTTGTTCGGTAAAAATAACCGGAACAGCTGCTCAAAGACAACTGGAGAAGAGCAAATCCAACGAGAAAGAGAACGAACGACCGACAGACGGATCAGCACCAGTGAAAAGCTGCGTGAAGCTAGAGAGAGAGGGAGAGAGAGCTGCGTGTATAGCTAAGAGAGACAACCCTGTTGTTCGGTACAAATCACTAGAATAGCTGCTCAAAAATGACCGGAGAAGGAAAGAGAACGACCGACCGACCGACGGATCGTCGCCGGTGAAGAGATGCGTGAAGCTAGAGAGAGAGAGAGAGAGAGAGTGCGTGAGGCTAGAGAGAGAGAGAGAGAGAGAGAGAGAGAGAGAGAGAGAACAAGAGGATCGAAAGAAAAAGGAAAGAAAAAAAAAGAAAGGGTAAATTTGGAAATTTAAAAATTATGGCCTATTAAATTTTATAACTAAAAATTAGTCTGTATATTTTCTTAAGCTTTTCATATTGGCATATTCTCTACTATTTCTCTATATTTTATTCTCAAATGTGTCTCTACTTAAATATTTTTCTCGTAAATTTTAAAAACTCTTTTTTAATATGCACCTCATAAATAATTTTATGCCTAATTTACAAAACTAAAAACTTTTTTCTTTTAAATTTGCTCTATTTTAACATTCATTTCTACTAAACTAAAGGTTCATTTAATTCGTTGATTTGAGTTTTTAATTTAAGTTGAGATGTGACTTTATGTGAAAGCTTTTTACTATAACAAAAAAATTAAATGTGACTGTTTCTGAGAGCTTTTTACTGTATCAAAACTCGAATCGGTAAAATAAACGGAGATCTAAACTTTTAAGAAAACAATAAAAGTAAACCATAAACTGTAAATCTCTAAAGAAATTTTAGGTTTTCGTATAACAAATGTAACATATTAAATTATCACGCGCCTTTGCGCGTGTTTCAACTAGTCTACTCCAAATTGAGAAAAACCGAGCTACTTTTCCTAGAAACCCTGACCAGTCTCCACCCCAAGCGTGCAAAATCTATGGTTATTTTGATAGGCAAAATGAGGCTCCATCAAACTCAATGGCGAGGAAAGAGCCACAGTCGAATGCAAGAGTGCGAGGCTCAAGCTTGGCATCAAAGCCTCATATCATAACACTTCGCCACTCAACGTGAGGCCAAAGACTCGAGAACAACAGCACGGGTACTCAAACCCTCACCAACACACTGCCTCCAAGAACAACGGGGTTCAAACTCGTTGCGACGACAAAATTTGGCAGGCAACCAGGTAGAAGTAGCATTGTTTAAATATGCTCATTCAACTTGCAGATTAACTTTCATTTTTGTTTCAACATCCCAAATTTATTATGATCGAAAATACAGCAACTTCAGCAGTTCAAAACTAAAAAAAAAATGTATCGTTTACCACTTGCAAGAGTCTGTTTCACTCTGGTGACTCAACCACTTATAATGAATGTTAGTTACAATCTCCTTTCATATATAAGCAAAATGAAAAGATGTTTACATCTCTTTTTTTCAAAGAGAACATTTAATCACTAATGAATTATACATGGTAATCTACAGGGTTAAAAAAAATAAAGAAAAAAATAAAAACATATACCCTCCCCTAGAAAACAAAAAGAAGAATGAAGAAAACAAAAAAATGAATACAAAGTTTTGGAAAAACATTCAACAAAGTGGTACACATCTTTCTTCCTCTCTTTTGAAAATTTTTCTTTTTTTCAAATTCCTTTTTCGGTATAAAAAAGATGGTGTTTTATACCTTCATACTAAGTCCAATAGGAGAGGGTCCCCTTCTGCCATTATTCTGATAAGTTTTATGAAATCCGGTTCACCCGAAACATTCCACGGGTGAACAGCAGATACTTTTGCTGAATAAAGGGTAGAAGAATTTGCAGGTGCTTCTTGCTTATAAATCATTGTATTAAGCACCGAGTCAAAATTCTGAGGTGAATCTATTGATACAAAGAACATGGGTATTGCTACCTTGTGATGGATTTCTTGATCTCCCACTAGATTGACAAGATCGACAAAGTCGGCTACAAAATGCCGAGGGATGTAGAACACTTCAGAACTGCATATTGTGAGGCTCTGGCCACTTTTTTCAGTTTCTTTGTAATTTACTTGGAAGTGAACTGGCATTGTGCTAACAACTTTCTTTACCATGTCTGCTTGTTTTGAACACCAATCGCTGTCCTTGGTTGAAACACTAACCCAAGATTCGGATACCTGAATCCCATCAAATTGTTGGAGAGAGAAATAAGTATATTATTGCAAAGTAACAATTAGCAACTGGCTTAAAAGATTAACGATCAATCTGACAGAAAACAACGGCTTATACCACAAAATAACAATCGCTTCTTATTTATTTGCTGAAGCCTGAATGTAATATTGCTACTTATGATTAAAAGATCAATTACACGTAGTATGGTTCTCAGTCCTCACCAAGAATTAATTTACTAACATTAGAGACCATTTCTGTACGATTGAATATTGCAAAAAGAACAACAATAAAAGTTTTACGTAAAATTTTCAAGTTATATTACCTTATTTGTAATCCATAATTTAGTCTTGTCTGCTTCTAGTAGATTCCAGTAATTGAGAATGGTATTGTCCTGAAGGAATAAAAATCCCTCCGCACTGCTATATAAATCAAATATCTTTGGCAGATACCTGCATAAACCAATGAAAGGTATAGCCAAAAATTAGTACGATGGTCAATGGCTCATATTAGCTCTCTGATTTGCAATGTCTTTACTCTATCCGACTATCTACAGATGGTAAAGAATCAATCATACAGCATATGGATCACAGACAATCAGGTAGAATAGTTAGCATTTCACTTGATAATAACTGCTTCCAGTCATTGTTGAAAAGAATATATCCCACAAATACAAATAAGAATTGACAGCGCATCAATCAAAGTATGGTTGTAGAGAACTTGTAAAGTGTAAAGTGTAAGGTGAGATGGATGTTATGCCAACAAATCCTAGTCAATAGTTATAAACTTATTATTTGAACTCTACATTAACAAACCAACCCCCC